GGTATTATCATCTATTACAAAACATCGCACTTTGCTTACCATGGCTGGGGTACGGCTTGTGGCAAGTCTCTCTTCAGATGGTTCTGTTTCCCAAAGTTGATCCCTATTGTTTTCTAATGCCATTAAGTAAAAGAGATAATTTTATCTTGGAAATTCTAAATCTCCGATCTGAATACATATTTATGAACTGAGTGTATAAATATTTTGCATCGGAAGGGCTGTCACATACTCTTTGTGAATATGAAACTTTGCGATGGAATCATACTGCCTACTAAACTCCAAACAATATCATAATGTAGTTCTGATACATGGCATTCCATCACAACTTCATATCAGCTGTGGTTGTGACGTCATTTCCACAATCAAAATTGTTTTAATATAATGTACTCAATCCTATATAACTATTACTTTTATTAGCTACTAGATGGTGATAGTACAAAAGTGTTTAAAATAAGAAAAAAGAAAGAAAAACTAGTAAAAATATGTAAAACTTTACATATTTATTTTACATTATGAAAGAAACTACAGAAAATCTAAGAAAATACTTTTAAATTTAAAGATGTAACCTTTTTTCACAAATAAAATTCCAATGACTAAAAGATTTCATAATCCCACATTAGTGATGTCTAAGATTTGTTAAATCTCAGTAACGTAATATTTTTAGTTAAAATTATTCTGTTTAGTGTAGTCCAAATAAAAATGGACTGACTAAACTCGATTTGTTTAAATGTAATTAAGATTTGGTTCAGTGTTATTGGCGTTCATTAGCCCCTAAATTACCAATTGTTTTCATACGGGTGGAGTCCACATTGACCTCAAGCATTTACACATAAAAGAATCATACTATTTAAAGTTTTTAAATATTTTTTTATTTGTGCATATAGATTATACGTTTACGCAAAACAATATCTAACATAAATAAGCTTGAAATTGTGATTCAAAAATTAGAATATGATAGTAGCATGAAAACTGAACAAAAATGCATATCGATAAACTACACACAAAATTTGTTCATCCATAACTACTCTCAAATAATATCTTGAAATCGTCATTCTTCATGAAATTATATATTTTGATTCACTTTTGTGTTGTTCACATTGCCTGTTCATTCTTCAAGGGCAAGATTTTGTTTTGTTTCAGAATTTTGTACAATTTATACAAGGGCTACGGGCGCATAGCCGTTCCCAATTTTAAACTGATAGACAAAAGAGAAAGTAGCTAGACAACAGCAGCCACCACCAACTCTTGGACTACTATTGTATAATCGAATATTTCGGTTTGATTCTCACTCCTTTAACGCATCTTTGGCTGAGAGGGTAGAACTTGCAATGACTACTCTCCTTTCTAATGCCAGTTGGTGTATTCTTGATCATCATCTTTCCCGGATATAATTTCATTTTGAATTTGAATTTAGCCAAGATATAAAGACTATCAATACTTGGTACAATAGGTAAAAATAGAGTTGAACTGTCACCTGAAATATTCTAAATAAAAATATGTGCCTAGTTCTCAGCTAAATTTGTTTCCAGTGAAGTTGTTGCCTTGATTCATAATATACGAAGAAGGAAAACATTATAAGTGTATTAATAAGCACTACGAGTCAGAAACTGACAGAAACCAAAAAGCCAGTAATGTCCCTAGATTAAACAGTACCAAGATGGAGTGGATACTCCTGACCAAGTACCAAGATTCTCCTCAGCTAAAAAGAAGATAAACAGATGACCAATTTGCTGGTTTTTTTTACAACATATTAGACATAAATGTTTTTGTTTCGTCGATTCATCTTGACCTCTATTAGAATAAAGGAGAGTCACATGAGTAATGTTTTTTTATTCAGAAGCTAGGAAAAATTAATTCAGCAAAATATTCTTTTATGGCCCTTGCATCATGTCCAGTACAACCATATATACACGTTTTTTGTTGTTGTTGTTTTTTGGCTGTCCTCCTTTTTGTATACACACTTGCATATTATAAGCACAGAATATGTCTGTTTGTTTGTTTGTTTTGAATTTCGCGCAAAGCTACACGAGGGCTATCTGCGCTAGCCGTCCCTAATTTAGCAGTGTAAGACTAGAGGGAAGACAGCTAGTCATCACCACCCACCGCCAACTCTTGGGCTACTCTTTTACCAACGAAATTGACCGTCACATTATAGCGTCCCCATGGCTGAAAGAGTGAGCATATTTGGTGTGACGGGGATTCGAACCCGTGACCCTCAGATTGCGAGTCGAGTGCCCTAACCACCTGGCCATGCTGGGCCAGAGAATATGTCACTGTCAAAATAAGTCCAAATAAGTCCACTGCCAATATAAGTCCAAATGTTTTACCTTATTTTCAAGGTTTGTTTGGAGTATGTTTTAAAGCACACCTATTGTAGAACTTGAATAGCTGCTCATCAGTGGTCACATTTTCTAATGGAACATGATATTATTGAAGAGTCTGCGTACTTTTCTGCCTTTTTCTTTGTTTTTCAGCATTAGAAAACCAAAAACATCTTCAAAGTTGGTGAAACCTATTATGTGTTATTGTTTGTGAGGGAAAAAAAATGATCGTTTACTGTCTTGATTCTAGGGCTATTTAATTGTTTCTTTCTTTGATTTATTAACAACACCGTCACATCGAAAAACTAGAGGGCACTTACTAGAGCGCATACCTCCACCACACAGTGTTGATCATATTTGGCTCTCAAAAAATAAGAAAATGTGTTCGTATGTCCGTCGTTATCAACTAACACGGACTATTTTTGGTAGGATAATTACGAATAATATTCTACATATGTCTTCCAAGTTTCATCAAAATCCGATCGTTTTTGACTGAGGTATAGAGCAAAATTAGTGTGAAAAATTGGACCCCATGTTAAAAGAGAGGGATTTATTATTTTTGTGACTCAAAATCCATATACTAAGTTCACAATGCAAAATAATCAAAGATAAAATATAATAATAATAATAGGTATATTAAACACTCTAACTAATACAGCTAATCAAATTAACATTAAAGAAAGAAGAGAGTATAACTTACTTTAAGTCATAAAATGTTTCGTATTTAACTTTTCAGCAGTTAGAAAAAGTTTGATGTGATGTGTTTCATTTTGGTCAAAATATGAGCATGGGAGATTCATGTAAAGCTGAACTTTTGCGCTGTTTTATGCAATATATTTCATTATTTTTAACTTTTTCTAACAAGCAATTCGTGGTTTTAATCGTAACTATTGTTCAACATTGTAACGTCACTGTGTTATTCGTAATTATTGGTCAACATTATAACGTCACTGTGTTATTCGTAATTATTGGTCAACATTATAACGTCACTGTGTTATTCGTAATTATTGGTCAACATTACAACACCATTGCCTGAAATGCTCTGAATGTGTATATATATATAATACTAAGTGAGATATTCAATATTTTGTTAACTATTTCTTCATGTGTCTTTAGGCAGAATGGTCAAGCAATAGAGCCGAACATGGCTGTGGTGATTCAGGAAATGGTGCCGTCCCAAGTGTCAGGGGTGATGTTTACAGTTCATCCGGTCACGGGACATCCGTCGTTCATCTCTCTCTCAGCTAATTACGGACTTGGCGAGGTAGGCCATCTGTTGACTTATTGTCGGTTAGCGAATATAAGTATTGTTTGTTTTTTTTTCGTTTAAATACTAATACTTTGATTTCATCTCCCATGTAACAGATATAAGTATGACACAGAATTTATTGTGCCCTTGTCCTCAGAGCAGTCTTCATTTCATTTTGGTACACGATTTGATACATAACCCGAGCTAATATATTTTTTACTGCAAAGATGAAATTTTACGTATGAAGCTTATACTTTTTTAAAAAAATATTTCCCCAGCTATTTCGGACATATATATGGATTTGTAATAGATATTATTAATAGCCTAATAAACATACAAGAAAACATTTTTTTTTTTTTTGCAACAACGGGTAAAGAAAAGATTTAATTTTTTGGCAGATTAATAATAAAACAAGAGGGTAGTCACAATAACTGGGGCACTTGAAATTGTTTTAGGCAGAATTGGAGTGAGACTTTTTTTCATTGTATTAGCTATATTTTCGTGCGCCAGCATGGTTAGGACGCTCAACGCGCAATCTGCGGGTCGCAGGTTCGAGTCCCCGTCACATCAAACATGCGTAGGGGCGTTATAATGTGACGATCAATCCCACTATTCGTTGGTAAAAGAGTA